TCTTTCCCCTCTAATTCTGTTTCTAGGTGTCCCAAGTGTCCAGGGCAGCCCGGATGGCCACCCCCAGTCCGAGGATCATCCAGCTGGCAAAGCCCAGGGCTCCAGCCGCCCTGCTGGAAGAGTGGGACCCCATGCCAAAACCCAAGCCGCACGTGTCAGACTATAACCGCCTCCTTCACCTGGCCAGTAAGCAGGTCCCCGGGGATTCGGCGTCTTATGAAGCGTCCTTCCCCACTGGACGTGGGCGGGGGCAGCCAGTCAACTTGGACCTGCTTCTGCCAGATTTGTGCTTCCCTAGCTCCACCTGCACTGCAGACCAGCTGCCCGGATCCCTGTGGGCAGTTCATCTGTGGCCTGCATGGGCTCCCTGGGGGCTGGCAGAGGGAATCCCTCCCCCAGGGTGGGGGGCGGTTTGTGGGTCTCCCAGCCCAGCAAGTGGGTGCAGAAGGGAAACTTGGGGTGCAGGGCCAGGGCCAAAAGAACCAAGCTGGGGCACAAGGGCTCTTTACGTGGTGTTGGCCTGACTCTCTTCCTGTCCTTTATTTTATTTATTTTTTTATACAGCAGGTTCTTATTAGTCATCCATTTTATTTATTTATTTATTTATTTATTTTATTTTTTCTTTTTGTGATATGTGGGCCTCTCACTGTTGTGGCCTCTCCCGTTGCTGAGCACAGGCTCCAGATGCGCAGGCTCAGGGGCCATGGCTCACGGGCCCAGCCGCTCCGCGGCATGTGGGATCCTCCCGGTCCGGGGCACGAACCCACGTCCCCTGCATCGGCAGGCGGACTCTCAACCACTGCGCCACCAGGGAAGCCCTTAGTCATCCATTTTATACACATCAGTGTATACATGTCAATCCCAATCGTCCAATTCAGCATGCCACCCCCTGCGGCTTTCCCCCTTGGTGTCCGTACGTTTGTTCTCTGCATCTGTGTCTCAACTCCTGCCCTGCAAAACGGTTCATCTGTACCAGTTTTCTAATTTCCGCATACATGCGTTAATATACGATATTTGTTTTTCTCTTTCTGACTTACTTCACACTGTATGACAGACTCTAGATCCATCCACGTCTCAACAAATGACCAATTTCATTCCTTTTGATGGCTGAGTAATATTCCATTGTATATGTGTACCACATCTGCTTTATCCATTCGTCTGTCCATGGGCATTTAGGTTGCTTCCACGACCTGGCTATTGTAAATAGTGCTGCAGTGAATACTGGGGGGCGTGCGTCTTTTTGTGTGCGTGTGTGGTACGTGGGCCTCTCACTGTTGTGGCCTCTCCCGTTGCAGAGCACAGGCTCCGGACACACAGGCTCAGCGGCCATGGCTCACGGGCCGAGCCGCTCCGCGGCATGTGGGATCTTCCCGGACCGGGGCACGAACCCGTGTTCCCTGCATCGGCAGGCGGACTCTCAACCGCTGCGCCACCAGGGAAGTGCCCTGTTGGTATCATCTTTAATTTCTTTCATCAGTGTCTTATAGTTTTCTGCATACAGGTCTTCTGTCTCCCTAGGTAGGTTTATTCCTAGGTATTTTATTCTTTTTGTTGCAGTGGTAAATGGGAGTGTTTCCTTAATTTCTCTTTCAGAGGTTTCATTATTAGTGTATAGGAATGCAAGAGATTTCTGTGCATTAATTTTGTATCCTGCAACTTTACCAAATTCATTGATTAGCTCTAGTAGTTTTCTGGTGGCATCTTTAGGATTCTCTAGGTATAGTGTCACGTCATCTGCAAACAGTGACAGTTTTACTTTTTCTTTACCAATTTGTATTCCTGTTATTTCTTTTTCTTCTCTGATCGCCGTGGCAAGGACTTCCAATACTATGTTGAATAATAGTGGTGAGAGTGGACATCCTTGTCTCGTTCCTGATCTTAGAGGAAATGCTTTCAGTTTCTCACCATTGAGAATGATGTTTGCTGTTGGTTTGTCTTATATCGCCTTTATTATGTTGAGCTAGGTTCCCTCTATGCCCACTTTGTAGAGAGTTTTTATCATAAATGGGTGTTGAATTTTGTCGACAGCTTTTCCTGCATCTATTGAGATGATCATATGGTTTTCCTCCTTCAATTTGTTAATATTGGTGTATCACATTGATTGATTTGCGTATATTGAAGAATCCTTGCATCCCTGGGATAAATCCCACTTGATCATGGTGTATGATCCTTTTAAAGTGTTGTCGGATTCTGTTTGCTAGTATTTTCTTGAGGATTTTAGCATCTATATTCATCAGTGATATTGGTCTGTAATTTTCTTTTTTTGTAGTATCTTTGTCTGGTTTTGATATCAGGGTGATGGTGGCCTCATAGAATGAGTTAGGGAGTGCTCCTTCCTCTGCAATTTTTTGCAAGAGTTTGAGAAGGATGCGTGTTAGCTCTTCTCTAAATGTTTGATAGAATTCACCTGTGAAGCCATCTGGTCCTGGACTTCTGTTTGTTGGCAGATTTTT